CAAAATTTTAGGTTTTATCACTGTACACAAATAAAATTTATATCACTCCTCACACTTAACTTTTTTTTTTTAGGGAGCCCGCTGTGCTCGCACAACATGAATTTTTAAGAGCCAGTCATATTGCTTATTGTGAATTGTACTCAATAGTGGAAGTTATACAAAAAAATCACTGAATTAAATAGCAGATGTCATCAAAATTGAAAGGAAACTAAAAATATCCAAATATCTCAATTTGTTTACTGTGGGCTCAGTTTGATTTTTTTTATGATATACATTTCATTTTTTCAGACCACTTAAATGATTTTTATTTCATATATAATTTTAAATTTTTCTTTAAAGCATGGTATGACTTTGTTACCCTTTAAAGTAGTATCCGTTAATAAATAATCAGTGTAATCTACTCTTGTTTCCATATAACCCACTACAATCTAGCTGACAGACATTTTTCAATTACATGTCAAACACTTGGACAGATGGAAAAATCATAAAATTTACATTATCACTAACTTTTATAGCAATCTTTTCTTTTTCAGTTCTTTCATATCCTGAAACATCTGTTAGTTGTTCGTGAATCTGAATTTGTAATAAACAAAATCCTCAAATTAGCAACATATTGAAAACAGGCAAAATCTTCAAAATGGTTTGGGTGGTGATGAGTTAAACATAAATTAGTTTCCTTTCCTAATTAAAGTAAATAATGAAAGAATTCCTTTTGGGATCATCTACATTCTGTAGATATCACCACTTTGCTAAAGGATTTTGTACTTACAAATAAGACTCTACCTGTGAAAGACCATCATTGCCCAAAGATATTCAAAGTCATGGAGAACATGGCATAAAAGTCCCCAAATCACATGCACAAAGAAAAAAAAATTGCCTAAGGTTAAAAATTTTCTTAAATGAATAGAACCAAATGATGATCTGAAAAATAATGTAACTGAAAAAAAAAAAGGCAATGGGACTGTGAGTGGGAAAGAGATAATAACTGGTTACACTATGACGAAGACAGGGATGAATATTCTGTAAGGTATATTGAGAAGAGGAAAAATATTACAACAACAATATGGACTATTAGCGGTGAAGAAAATGTGAATCTGAAAACGCTATTAGTGGTCTATTATCATGAACAGCCCATAAATGTTCTATGCTAAATTGAAAATCTGTTGCCATAGCAATTAATACTCTTTGCTAATCGACCACTAATAGTTTTCAGAATACCATCTCATGATTGGCCAATTATAGCTAGGTATCTAGCTCTATTCATTGGGTCGTAGCACAAAATTTATGGAAATTCTCTTATTTTGGGGGTTTTAAATTTATTTTAATGAAAATGTGTCTCTTTTAAAACATAAACAAAAAAGGCCAAAAAATGTCTGAAAAGCATCAGAATATTATCACTGAAAGACTAGTTTTCTTACTGGAAATAACGGATCTAATCTTTGGATTCTTCAGTCATTTTTTTACACCATGCAATTTGTTTTTAATAACACACAAAGCATTTGCCAAATATACTGATGCAATTATTGCAAGGCCATACCAGGTGAGACAAGACTCCAAGTTTTATGCATGGAACACCTACTCTACATAAAGCACTTCTTATGCTTTCTAGCACATTATTCATAGGGCAGTAACATTTCTTTCCACAATTGTATTTTTGCTTTCGTTCACAATTACTTTTTAGAATGTTTCTCAGGTGCTTAGTGCAGAGCATACTAACATTTTTACTTGTCGATTTCACAGGGCACATTGCAGCTGTGAACATCTGAACCAAAATTGATAATTATGCTTCTGATGTAATCATGACCTACAATCCTGGAAACTTTTGATTTCATGAATTAATAATTACCTGCAGATATATCAGACACAACTTCATAAGAACCCATGACATTAAACTTAAACAACTTTTAATGCCATGAATGTAATATTTTTAAGGAACTTGTATTACAAGAACAACATGATAACTGGGAAAAATGCCTTTTATTAGATACCTCCAAACCTGACCCTGGCAGAAATTTAAGTCTATCATGAATGACGATTCAGACATCATAAATAACATTCAATATAATAACAACACTGCCACTACCGATAACAAATTTTTTGCCCAATATTTTGAAAGTACCTCAAATGTCATCTTGTTTGGCACATAACAATGTAAATCAGCACTTTTTTTTTCACTGAACTTCTTCATTTCCATATCACAAACTTCTGGTTCTAACAGTATGTATTTCCACCCTATATCTTTAGCAGAAATCAAAATTTACCATAGGAAAATAAAATGCAAAGCCCTGGGAAAGGATGGAATTAACAGTTTAATCATGAAAAACCTATCCATTGAAATCCTAACCCACTTAGTAACAAATTATAATTTATCGTTACGATAAGAACATTACTGATCTACTTGAAAATAAGCTATTATTATGGTAATCTCTAAGAAAAATAATAACTTAACTAATATCAGCAGCTACAGACCCATTAGCCTGCTAAACACCCTTGGTAAGGTGATGGAGAAATTAATCACAAATCAGTTAACCCTCTCCGTGCGGGTCAAAAACCACGTCATCGCGTTTGTTGACTCGCATTCAAAATTTTATTGAACTACTATTTTATGAATTTGTCACTAAGTTTGGTATCAAATTGTAGATTATAATTCAAATTTTGATATTATACATTATTTAATTTCTTAATTTAAAAGTAGGTATATAAAAAAAACACCTAAACATCAAGCTTTGTGTGTCACATGGTATGTTGAATACAGCTTTGGTTCAAGTTAGATGTTTGTGATGACCAAATACAAAGTCTATAGTTTCTTATGAATTATTAACTCGTATATTGACAAGCTAGAATATAAAATGAAAACCTTCTATCTTTTCTATTTGCTGAGATATCGCTCATGTATTGAATCACACACAATGGCTCTTTCCATTTTTGAAAACACTTTGTTATATACACTTCTGTTTATGACATGTGGATAACAAATTGAAAGCTCAGAATATCCCCCTAGTGGCTTTCTCAGCATTGTTGAAGTATTATTATGTCAACTCTTTCTTTTGATGCATGATTACAAGCTAGTAAATTGAGTCTTTAGTCTGCTCGAAATTTCATATTTTTTTAGACCCAAATACGGCTTAGTTACTAAGCTTGATAAATTATAGTGAAATTATATGGTATTGATATAGTAACTTATGATTTTTTGGTTATTCAACAATATATACAAAATGTAAAATAAAATTTTGTTTCACATCCTTCATGTGCAAAATTTTATAAGGTTTAGCAGCCTATGACAAGCAGCAAATGAATATAAAGTTTGTAACTTGAAGAAATAATCATTTGCTATATTTTTTTATTTACTGCTTTATGTTTTAAGAAAAATAAGTTTTAGGAACTTATTTGTAAATAGTAATAATCTATATACATATATTATGTATAATAATTGAAATGTGACTATTTTACAAAATACTAGTCTACTAAAACACAGCCAAGACAGGTCACTTTGTAAAGCCTAAAGGTCAGATTTATATTATTGGATATGGTAACATGAGTGCATGTGTGACATGTCATTGTAAATTCTGTAATGTTAGCCAGGCATGGCTGAAAGGTGAATATAATAATAATAATAATAGTAATATATATATATATATATGTGTGTGTGTGTGTGTGTAAATGTATGATGTTATGACATGAAAGCTATTTAGAATAAAAATTTGTGTTTTCTAGTTATGATTTGTAATCATTCTAGAATGAAAAAAGCATAATTTATATTTATTTCCTTTTTTTGTATGTGGTGGTTGTGAAAGCGGTCAAATCTACCAAACCCGTACAGAGATACAGTTGTGAAAATAACAGATGAAATATTAAGTATTTTTCTTAAAAAAATGTTTGATAATTATCTGGAAGTTATAAAAAAATTTCTAACACAATATTTTTAATCTTAAAATGAAAATTACTGTGGATGTTGGATAGGTAACATGCAAAAAGAAAAAAGGCATGAGAAAACATTACTTAAAAAAACCTTAAGACTTAATTTGAGGGGGAAAAAAATTGCAGATGAAAGCCTTGTAATGTTTACTGATAATCTGCCAAATTTCATGAATATACGATTACTAACTTAAAAGTTATAGCATGAAAACTTTAACAAGCATGATTATGAGATCGGTCCCAGGGACCAAGCCTATGCTGAATAAGTTAAACTCTTACCTAAAAACCAACAATATTATTAACAACATACAGAATTTAAGCAGAAAGCATGGACAAACTACTGACCACCTTGTTAGACTTACCAAAACGTATTGCAGTTTTAACAGAAAACATTCAACCATAGCTAACTTTATAGATGTCCAAAAAGCCTTTGCTTCGGTATGGCACAACTATAAACTTACCGATAATCGTGTACTCGCCCCTACTGTACACTGGATGACCAATAGAACAGCTAAAGTTAAGACTAACAATTGTGACCTCCAGGCCCTTCACATTTGAAGCCAGTGTTCCCCAAGGGCCAGTGTTAAGCCCAACATTATACAATCTCTTTGTCAATATCTGTTCAGCTGGAATATATGGTGCCTGATTAGTGAAAATGGGTTTTCTCAGTGTACTCCTGTCCACCCACCCCCCCACAGCAAAATTATTTTCATTCGATCTATAGAACCCTGCCCTGAGAAGGGCCACTCCCCCTCATATTCTGTATTCAGAATTTATATTACATTTTTATGTATTAATTCAGCCAAAGCTATCAATTTTAATAAATTGTCCATTTAGATATTACTGTCTTTGCTAGTTTTAGATGTATTCATCCCCTATCAAGAATTAATTGATTGCTTCAGACCCTAATAATCACTTATTTGTACAACTCATGTCAACTTTGAACTGAATGTCCTTGGTACAGTCTTGGCTCCTATCTTCAGCTCCAAGGCTCCCTCCAATTTTGAGCCCTGTGTGTATATATATATAGTAATTTCAAGTTTTGTGTATGGAAGAGATAGTTTTATTTATTTCTTAAAAATGTATTTTATGAACAGAAGCCATTGATTCATATACCTATTCCATTGCTAGAGCATATGAAGATATCAAACTTCTGAGCCTTTCTCTGTATACCAAAAGATAAGGAGCTAGAATGAATTAATTAGAAATCTTAATTATTTTGCTTGTATTGACATGTAGCAAGTGAGATATATTTTTTTAATAGACAAATCTGGTATCTCTAGTGTGTACTAGTAGGAGATGGTGGAACAGGAAAAACCACATTTGTAAAACGGCATCTCACTGGTGAATTTGAGAAGAAATATGTTGGTAAGTAGGGTTGATCTTAGAGACAAGTTTTCATTGAGATACTTATAATGTTTTGAATTGTGTGTGTGTGTGTCTATATCGTCTATATTTAATTGAATGGTGACTTGTTTTTAATATGAGCAACTGATGGTTTTGTGGCTTAACTTTCAGCCACCCTTGGTGTTGAAGTTCATCCCTTAGTTTTCCATACCAACCGTGGGCCAATTAGGTTTAATGTGTGGGACACAGCGGGTCAGGAAAAGTTTGGCGGCCTACGTGATGGTTACTACATTCAAGGTGAGATGGGTCTACAACTGAAAAAAATTGTTTAAAAAAACATGATGATAAAATATTGATGTAGGAATGTAATCTTTAGAAAATCATCTCAGAAACATGATCTAAGGGTAGTGTTTCAGTTCTCTCTTTACTATCAAATGTGTTTTTGTTTCTTAAGGTGTATATTGTTAATAATCATTAACAAGGCTGAACTGTCTTTTCTGTACTGAACTCGAAATAGGAGAAATTTGAACATTTTAAATGAAATTCCTCAATAATCTTTGGTTTTCATATAAATTAATGAAGTAAAAAATATTGTTAATGACATTTGGTACATCTGGCCAGAGAACTTAGTAAAACACAAGAAAATATTGAAGAATTTTACAATCAGAAAGTCTTGGTAAGTTTTTATTGTTGGTCTTGGAACAGCCAATGATGAAGGAAAACATTCTGAACTGTTGATTTGAATGAGACATTGTCCCTCTAAGTTGAGGCTGCTTTTATTTTACATATTGTCAGCTTTTGATTCCAGTTATGTAGCATGAATCTCATTAATACAACATTTTTTTGTAGCTATAATGTTTTAATAGCTAATTTGAAAGCTGAATTTCATAATTTTGAAATATCTTTAATAGAAAAAAAAGGGGGTAAGTAACTGTAATTTTATTGTCAGGTCAGTGTGCAATCATCATGTTTGATGTCACGTCTCGAGTCACGTACAAAAATGTTCCCAACTGGCATCGAGATTTGGTTAGAGTGTGTGAAAATATTCCCATAGTTCTATGTGGGAATAAAGTAGACATCAAAGACAGGAAGGTGAAAGCTAAATCCATTGTGTTTCACAGAAAAAAGAATCTGCAGGTGAGTTTCTCTGAAAAAAATGTTGTATTAGTTACTGTACTCAGGATTACAATAGAAAAGAGCTGGAACTTTTTTTGTCAAAAAACAAACAAAAATTTTGGTCATGTTTTATGCACATAGAATTGTGTGATGGCAGTGATCTCCCTAATTTTTCATATATTCATGTTACAATCCCTGTCCATAACGTTTATCTTAATTAAGGTTGAGGATGGTTGGATATAAACAGGTTCATAAAACACACAATTTGATTGACCTGGTAAAAAATATTTTTTTAAAGTGGGAAGAAAATTTGAGAACAGTATTTGTATTTTTTTAAATACTCCATCACCCCCCCCCCCCCTCATGTTTTATGCATATGTTAAGGTAATCATTTCATCCTTGTCTGTAAGGTACTCAAGTATCATTGAGAATTGATTTTACTGTATCCTTCATTAATATCTTAGAATAATCATTCTTTATGAGCACTTCTTGTGGAAACTTTATTTCTGATGCTTGTTTTTTTTGAAGAGATGTTGAGATTGGGTGTTTTTATAATGCTATATATTTCTTGTTTTTGTATTTATTTCATTATTATTATTGAATGGAGTAGTTTTACTGGTAATTTAAGTATCTGTTATTGTATGTATTTTGTAGACTTGTGTATCATGTTTGTTCATTTTTGGTCTCTTTCACATCCAGGAATGGCAGATAATTCTTTTTAGTTTCTGAAGTTAACTGTATAGCTTGATGTTGGTTGTTTGGATGACTAAGAAAATCACGAAGATTATCCTGATGATAGGGTCATTATATGAAAAAATTACATATCCATTCCAAAGCAGTGTTGGTGGTAGAGATGTTAATATAATCATTTCAAGTTGCAGAATGTAGATTTCTGCAATAATAGGTAAAAAGTGGAATCCCATAGGAGTTCCATCAGACATTCTTCGAAATGTATTCTTCCATTGGAAGTATATGGAGTACAGAGATAGTTACGAGTTTAAAGGAAGTTCTAAGAACTTATGAGTGAAAGTAAAGAAGAATATGTTAACCCTTTCCACACGGGTCAAAGGCCATGTCATTGCATTTGTTGACTCGCATACGAAATTTTATTGAATTACTATTTTATGAATTTATGTCAGTAAGTTTGGTATCAAACTGTGGATTATAATTAAAATTTTAGAACTATATATTACTCAATTTGTTATTTAAAAATAAATATTAAAACAACACAGATAAACATTGATTTTTATGTGTCACATGGTATGTTTAATGCAGTACTTGTTCAAATTACATGTTTGGGATGTCAAAATACAAAGTCTATAGTTTCATATGAATTAGGAACTCAAATTTACCAATATTGACAAGCTAGAATATAAAACAAGAACCTCCTGTCTTTTCCATTTTCTGAGATATTAATATATTTATTGAATCAACCAAGATGGCCCTGCCCATCTCTTCCATTTTTGAAAATACATGCTTACATACACCTATTTTGCCCATCCATGTGCA